GCAGTTGTGAGCGAAGCAAACACTCTAGTCTCGTAGTACATGTTCACATGTTTCCGAAAATATAAAGGACGTCCAAAACGGAGTTCATATGCAAAAGATACGATCGTTATAAGAAACCAAACCAGTATAACACTGATTTTCTTAAAACTGCTAAAACCATTTCTATCAGTTGAGGCACTTGCACACATCAGATGGAAATTTCGAGTGCGTTTTTGGACTCAGGTTATGGTCTATTATTTAATTTCATACTCCAAATATTTTTAGCAAAAATATTTGCAAAAGTTGAAAAATCGGATGTTTCGGGTCAATTAGACGCGGATCTTTAAACACGATTTCCCAGAGTTCTACAACTCAAAAAATTAATCCGTTCGGGTTTTTGGAATCCTTGAACTCTACTCTATCATATGACACTTTCGAAAAAAATATTAGGTATTGAGATTTTGGCATGCAAATCCAGAAGCATTTTAAGGACCTTTTGCTATGTGTGACATCACCATGACCCATCATTCTTGCATTACTTGATCAAAATCAGCCAAGAGACCCTCCCCTGCCCACGTGGGTTACCCTTCCCCCTTACCCCTTTGGAGTACACTCCTCAATCTAGTATAAAGCATGGTGGATTTTGAGTGTTTGACTTCCTATCTAGGCATAAGGTGCATGGGTATGTGAGAGCTTCCATGGGCTATAAAAGGAAGCCCTTGGCTTCCTATTTCCTCACAACTCATCAGCCCTCACCTCTCCCTTACTCTCCCCTCTCCATTCTCCCTCTCTTACTTCTTTATTGGTTTGAAACTCACCACCAAGCTATTTTGGCCAACAAACACCACCCAAGCACCACCTTCTAACTACTGCCACTTACTGATCTACCCCCTTCCCTTCTTCGTCGATCACAGCCGATAGAAACAAGGAAAAAAAATATGGCAGCAAGGCTGTCGGAGCACTTGTGCCGTCGTGAACAACCCACGACCACCCCCACCTTGTCACATTTGTATTATTACTTCTTTTGTGGTTCTTTCCTAGTTCAAGGTTTAAGTTTTTGGGTTTTTTGTGGGTTTGAATCAAGCCCAAACCGAGTTAGAAGTTGTTACTGTTTTGGTATCATTTCCCGGTGCTACGAAATCACATTCTAAAAAAAATTCTCATAACTAAGGTGAGTGTTACGGCCCCTTTTTATAGTTTTATATACTTCCGGGGGGGGGGGGGGGGGATACATGTGCTCATATACTTGGTTTATGAAAAAAACGTACTACATACAATGTTATCTTTTTATTTGAAAACTATATCTAGTTTATGAAATGTTATGTTGACAAATGCATATTATGTACACATAAACTAGTTTTCAACCTTGATATATACATATGTTATGTTGTTAAAATAAAACAACTAGTCATGAGAACATATGCTAGTTACTACAAAAGTTATGATTTTATATGACAATGTATGTCATAAAAAGCATGTCATAAAACTTTACCAATTTGTAGTATTTCAAACACCAAACTTATTTCATGTATATATATATATATATATATATATATATATATATATATATATATATATATATATATATATATATATATATATATAGGGTTGAGTTATTTGGAAAATAAGGAAAACCCTAAAAAAAGAAAAGAGCGAATCAGAACTTGACAACGCACATATGTATGAATATTACGCAACACGTCTTCAAAAGGGTATTTTAGTAAACATTTTGTTTGGAAAATCGGTTACACTTTCGAAATTCGAACTCGGAATCGATTCAAAACTGAACAAATTTCAATTTTGAGTTTTGAATTTGAAATTCAAAATGATTTCTACTTCACCGATTTTCAAATTCAAATTTTGAATAGATATTTCGATTAAATGTTGAGATATATTTGAACGATATCTGCAAAAAAATTAGAGAATTATACTCAAATCTACGAATCGATCTGCAAAAATCACAAAATCACAATCGGCATTGCCTGATATTCCCAATCGGCGTTTCTCCCGGTGTCGCACAGCCTCACACACGCATCATCTAAATTTGGTTTCTTCAATTTCATTAATTTGAATTTCGTTTCTGATTTCTATGTTTGATTTGTTCACGTGATTGTATTTTGCCCAACCCCAACCCCACAAATTCCAATTGATTGTTGCTTATTTTCTGGTTAAGAATTTCTTAATTAGACAGATTATGCATATCAAGATGAACGAAGGATTGCTAAGAATTTCACAGCCTTTCTTTTGTAAACCCATAGATACATGAAGCTTATCTTTTGTTAATTACAATAATATTCTATTTTTTTAAATGGAAAAAATGGTTTTTATATTTTTTTTGTATTCACGTGTAAATTTATTTGTATATTAGAAATCAAATTGATGAGAATGCATACAGAGAGCATATAAAAAAAAGGATGATGATTGTAATGGAATTTCAAATTCCAGGGTAGGATACAAGAAAGTGATTTTGAGTATGTTGGGCACAAGCTGAAGGCATGACGAACAAATACTACATTGGTTACATAGACATCTCAACTGTTCTCCTGAAAACTGTTTATGTTGGCAACAAAAGTAATTACAATCAGAATATTGGAATCCAATTTGAATTCCAATTACAATTCTGATGTGAATTCTGTGAAACAAAACTTATCCATCCAGAATACATTGATTTTATTGTATTGAAAGGAAGTCCCTATCCAGCATATTGGATATTAAAGCTTTCAGTCAACATTTTCATCTGCTACTTGTCAAATCAAGAGATAGAAGATAAGGTATACATTGTACTTTTATAAATTAATGATATATAACATTGAAGTTCCAAAAATTAGCAATAGTTAATTACAATATATATATTTTTCATCTGTGTACCTTTTAATTGTAATATTTACATTTTGGTCATTAAAGTATATATTTAACATTAATTATTGTTTGATCCTTAAAAGTTATTGCCACCATTGAACAACAATCACAAAGAACACAAGAATTTATGACAATACTAATGCTCAAAGGGTGTAACACCAAAAATAATCATTTTATAATTGTTGATGTGCATGACATCACCACACAAAATAAAACACTTACACCACTTACAAAGACAAGTTTTGGCACCTACAAAGACAACACCTCTGGTCACTCGAAAACAACTTCCAACATCTTTAAATGTTTAAAGTAATCCTACCATTGAAACAAATTCCACAACCTACAAAAAACCACATGCAGCAACTTCAATTTAGACATCAGGGATTTTGAAATCCAAAAAATCAATATATATTCTTATTCAGATCTTTCAATTACTTCAACTGTTACTGATTTCTGGTTCACTAATTACAAATTCTTCAGAGATTATTGAACGATGTCTGTAAACATTGGAGAATTAACTTCAACTTACGTACATGAAGATTCTATTAGCAAAATTTATGAATCATGCTCTTTGAATACAGAAGACGATATTCTTAAGTTAACAGGTGAATTGTTTTTTTTGAAAAGTACAGTAATTTGTGCCAAATGTTATGTTTCATGACAAAAAAATTGTCCTTATGAGAAAAGATTTTAATACGTATAACTAGTTTTTGAATTATACTTTGTATTGTGGAATATTTCAATTTATTGAATGTAATAATTAAATTTAATTTGATAAGTTTTTGCTTGCTTATTGATTGTGTTCATAATAATTTATCTTCAAAAGTACATCTTAAATGTATATGTTTAAAATATTATATAAATAATGTCTATTTAATATGTAAAACTTGCATACATAAAATCAGTTCAAATATCTTATTTTAATTTCCATGTTACTATACTTTCTAACTTTTGTCTTATTACAGGATGGTCCTTGTATTTAAGTTTGGAATTAATTTACTTTCATAACTGGACTTTCACTTACAGTTATAGCCCCTCTACATCAAACACTTTGACAATAAATGCACATCGAAGACAGGAAAAAAAAGAACCTATCAACAGAACCAAGAAAGGAAAACTATATCAAAAAATTTATTTCAATGATATTTAGCATAGTGATGATAAAGTAAATTACTTTCACTTGGATATGAAAAAATTCAACAACAAAAATACTAAACTCAAACAATGAAATCAACATCCTCTTTCAACAAAAAAAAACAAATAAACAATAAAATCAAGAACATAATAACAACATTCATCATAACTTTACATATCAAGCTGCATTTAAGTTATTTTCCTTCTGAAACAATTTTGCTTTAGAAATAAGCATCTCCTTATGAATATTGTGCTTCGATAACATAAGCTTCGCCATGTACTTCATCCTCAAAATCTTCAATGAAGTTATCAATGTACTTGGATTATGATCAAGCTCGCAATCCCAACAATAGTCTGACTGTCCAATGAATGTCTCCATATGCCGCATTAGATACAAACCACAATCATAGTTTCTCTCATGCTTTTTTCCAATTGAAATTAACAACCACATATGCTAAAATTTTCAAATCACTTTCTTTTTCATGACCAACATAAAATAAATAGAGGCAGAAGAAGTAATGCTGCATACAACAAATAAACAATTTTTATTATTAAATTATTTATATATTATATATAATTCAATAACTTACTATTATAAAAAGATAATAAATTAAAGTACTTCATACACTACCAGTATTCTAGGTATATTTCCATAGGTTGTTTCCACATCTCCATTATTATAAATATGGTCTATGATCATCCAAGCAGATTTCCTCAAATCAAAACATATTAAATAATATTTTGGCCCATTAACAATAGGAAAAAAAAACCTGCACGTATAAACATAAAAAATATATAATGTATCAAATGTTATTAGCTTTATATATAATGAAACATGATATTTACCAGATCCATGTCAGTAAATGGATATTTGTCATAGAACCTTAAATTGTATTCTTGAACTATCGATCTAAACTTATCAAATCTGTATAGCTCTGATATCGTTTCATCAAGAATATAATTTGTCTGTATTATGATTGGATATATAAAAAAGTTAGTATATATTAATTTTAAATAAAAATAATATTTTAACTAACCAATATTTTTGTATGGAAGAATACTCTGGATGGTGCCATAACTGAGTTTGGTGTGTAAATAATGTTAATGAAAGATGACCAACAATCAATAACATTACAACTAATAGGCTTGTTTGCTTCAAAACAATATGAATCTTCAACAAACATAAGTTGTGCATCTTTTAACTCCCATATGGTTTCCCTGTAAAATTATTAAAGAAAAATATCAGTTAATATTAAAATAAAAATTCTGATAATATTATAACATTTGCATTACCGAAGATTTCTATTTGAACATAATATTGACTTGCAAATATCAATTTCCATATCAGTAATCTTGTTTCTAATTGAAACTATGCTATTCATATACGGAGAACAAAAAGTAGAAGCTGAACTACAAATATCAATTCCTGTTCCTGTAGAATTTTCATCCACGAATTGGAGTTTCTTTTTGGTACTTCTGTATATGATTTCATCTATTTCCTTTAATACTCCTGGGCTAAAGAAACTATCTGAAGGAGAAAATTCAATTCCAGAACATTTTTCACTTTTTCCTGAAGGTTTGGGTGTGCTGATGTGATTATAATCACACAATTGATCTTCTTCACCTACATCAATCAATTTATAAGAATAATTCAACGAAAACATGAAAATACTAGAGTTTACTATAGTATATTCATCAATTTGTTATTTACAAATGGACAATTTATATATAATGATGTGCACACATCCAACATTTTGTTAATCATATGAACTCAAATGACCAATTACTAAAGACATACCATCAAATTCTTTGACAGTAGCATCCCTCTGCGTAGATATCAAAGACTGTCCACTATCCATCGTTAATAAATATCATAATCTAAGAAGATTTACAATATTTAAACAACCGTTAATTAAAGCCTAAGAAAATTTACTAAATTACATAATCTAAGAATGACAAACGACAAGTTTCACAAAATACACAAACTAAAAAAATCAGATAGCATACTAGTTGCAGATGTGTATCCAAAAAACAATATAAAAACAATAAATTTCACCTTAACGTCATAGTGATACAATAAGTTCTATTTATAAATTTTGATGAAAAATTTATCAAGAACTGCTTGACAGATAAGGCATACAAGCCTAACATATCACTATCTGGTACATATTCTAATCAAGAAACCAATTAACAATTTTTCTCCTTCCTAATTAACAGTATAATCAGGTAAAAACGTGCACATCAAACTCCATAAATCAACATTAAGAAGATATTATTATTAAAAAAAAAAGTTAGCAAAGAATCAAACTTCAATCATTCATAAAATGCTTAACTTCATGACATCTTTCTGATCCAAATTGTTAGTTGGTTTCTTCAGCTTGAACAAAATATTTGCTTTTGTTTAATCTCTAATAAGCTCCATAACATAACTATTTATCTTACCATCTAGAAATTGGGATTCCCATAAATGCCAAATTGGATAAGAAATAGGGCATCGTATTATAGTTTCCACTTCACAATCTTACTTTTGTAAAACAAATTTGATAAAGAATTGACACTCAATTAAGTTATCGATTTACAAAATTCAACTTGAACAAATTGACCACTTTTGATGATGGTAAATTATCGATTAAGAACCGAGAATCGGCTAACAGCAAAGAAGTGAGAATTGATTGAGAGTAGATAAATAAAATACCTTTAAGAAGCTATTGATAGATCATCAATGCCGAAACAACTGTGCAAACGTCGGGATGGGGAGATACAGTGCCGTGGGGGTCGTCCGGAGAAGGATAGAAGGAGAAATAACCAATCCCCCCAAAATCATAACCGATCCCGCTCAATTCTCTATCAGATCTTAAATTGGGCGGGTATATCTTTTGGTATTTGCTGCCTATTGACCTCAATCGACGATTACACATGTAACACACAACCGATCCCCCCAAAAATCATAACCGATCCCGCTCAATTCTCTATCAGATCATAAAATCGGCGCGTATATCTTCTCGTATTTGCCGCCTATTGACCTCAATCGACGACTACAAATGTAACACACAACCGATCCCCCCAAAAATCATAACCGATCCCGCCTCTTAACGAAAATCGTCCAGTCTAATGTTCTAGGGTTTACGCCTCTAATCGATCGATTTACTTTAATACCCTTTAAACCATTATTTATAAATTAATTAATTAATTACATGTGTCAAATTCTAATTGATCCTCACTTGATGCCCTAATTCCTGATTTTCCAAAGAACCCATTCCTATATATATATATATATGTATATATATATATATATATATATATATATATATATATGTTTAAATACATATGTATATAAGTTATAAAGATTATAACTTAGAAGATATACATGTACTTATGATCACTACTTTGAAACGTACCTCTTTATAAAAGCGAGTATATTTCACTTTTACATATATACCAAACATACTCCGCTTTTATAAAATGGCTAGTGACTTATCCACATATAAGCTATGGCTGAGAGCTATTCACATACCTTAGTTAAGGGCTTTATAGTTAGACACTAATCATTAGCTAAGTCTAAACACTAGGCACACCCACGCTACTATAACCGTTAATCCTCGGAGCGAGATACGTATGTATAGATTTATACGGGGTTGACATCCCCACCTGCGATTGCTAGTTACAACCTCGACCGATCAATCGAAACGGGTAATAAGTATCTACTAGCGTTACTACAACGTACAATGAAGCATTGTAGGGGTGTACATTCAGTCACATAGCTCCGTTATGGGACTCACTATAAACATTAACTAGAATCTTTTCTCTCTCTTTATCTATCTCTCTCACACTACAAACCACAGACTTGATTTCTCTCAAAACAATTTTAAGTATGGTTTTACTTATGCAAAGACACCTTTTGGTTTTCAAAGCTTATTCAAAGACTCTTTACAAACACAGCTTTTAGTATGGTTTTACTTACAACGAAAATACTTATTGAACGTTTTTAAAAGTATCATTACTGCTGTTAGCAGAAAACATGTAACTCTCACTAACCTTGTGTTGACCTTAAAAACTACATATATTCTCAGGAAATCAGTAATCAAGCATTTCAGACGACGGAATGGTCATGGATTGGTGGCAATCTAGTTTACTAGTTTTCGTTTTGTCTGCCTACCTGTTTAAGGCAATTCATGCACTATACTCTTATATGTAAGAACCTTGTATTCAAACATTAAGATGAAATACAAATGATGTTTTGTTTATTGTTATACTTGTGCTATATATTCAGTTTACCTGTGATCTATGAACTAAGTCGCACAACCCGACATGTTCCGCCGCCTCGGAAGGGGATGTGACTCTACCTTGCTCGAATTCTAGAAATGGTAGCTTCCATGATGAAATAGAAAGCCCTAGCTATGAGTGACTCAAATCCAGTTGTGATGCGCGAGGGCCAATATTCAAATGAAAGCAAGGGGCTGATTGCCCTCATGGTGAAGGGATGAATACGAGCAGTCGTAACATCATTTGTCAACCCTTATCTTGTTCGTTCTGGAAACACGTCTCTTATTCCATCTTTTCTTCAATCTCCTTTAACGGAAGAAATAAAAGCCCAAGAAGGAATACCAAAACATATTTCACTCACGGAGTCTCTTTGCATCTATGACTGAATGGTTAAAGCGCCCAATACTTACACGAATCAAATTGAATTGCATTTTTATTATGCTAAATGAGTATAAGTATTTTTGCTACAATTACATTTGACATTTATGCCATTAAAATCGAGATATTCATGTGAAAATTTATTTGAACTGCTATTTAATTAAATTCGAAATATGTATTGTTATTTTGTATTAATTTTAATTTTAATTTTTTTGTTCACAAATATAATTTAGTTTTTTCTACTTCTAATACCGACTATATATCAAATGAGAATTGAACTCTCTGTTGACAAATAATTTTCCCGTAACATTCAATATAGCATTCCACCAATATATAATACAAACTACGGTAGGAGCTATGATTGTGGGAAAAATATGGAAGGGCCACACAAATACCAAAAATACAAAGATAAGTTACAGTCACAAATAAATATACAACTAACATCACCCCCCCCCCCCCCCCGCAGACAGAACGAGAGGTCTTGAACGGACGTTCAGACTATATCTGAAGTCAAGGAACAAAGTGGAAGGAAGCCCTGTGGTGAAGATTTCAGCATATTGAGACGAAGACGGGACATGAAGAACACGAATCTGACCCATATCGACTTTGTCTCGCACGAAGTGAATATCTATCTCTATATGTTTTGTGTGTTGATGCTGAACCGGATTGGTGGACAAATAAACAGCACTGACGTTATCACAATACACAAGTGTAGCAGAAAGAGGAGGGTAGTGAAGCTCGCGAAGCAAGTTACGCAACCAACAGGTCTCAGCAACTGCATTCGCAACTCCTCGATACTCAGCCTCAGCACCGGATCTCGAAATGGTACCTTGTCTCTTAGATGACCAAGAGGAGGTTTTGACCCATAAAAACACAGTAGCCGGAAGTGGAGCGACATGTGGTGGGGCAACCATGTAACATCCCAAAATTCAAGACCGAAAATTTCGTTTTGATTAATTAAAAACCGCTTAATAAATTTTGCTCAATCATTTAATAACATTCTTAATAAAACAATTATCAGAGTTTTAAATCCCAAAGATCATCTAGTGCGGAAAACATGGTGTGATGCGCTGCGATCGCCCTGAGCTCCTTCCTTGGAAAAACATTAGTCCCTGACACAAATAGCTGAAAACCGTAAGCACGAAGCTTAGTGAGTTCCCCACATACCACATACCATACATATCAACTGACCCATACATGCCATACGTAACCATGAGCCATACATAACAAACATATCCATAATCAAGTAAGGTGCTATGTGCCAAACATAGTCTTGCTGTTATGCCACGGGCCGCACGTGGTCTTTCTTGTCAAGCCTGGGGCCACTCCCTGGGTCTTACAGACAAGTGCCAAGGGCCACCCCCTGGTCTTCAATGCAAGCATCACAAAGACAACTATACATACTACTCTAATAGGCTACTCAGCATACAGTGTTCCAGGAACCACCTCCTGGTCTTTTATTCATAATAGCATACAGTGTGCCAGGAACCACCTCCTGGTCTTTCATACATGTTACCTAGGGCTAACCCCCGGGTCCTCTTACCATACATAATAACATACTGTGTGCCAGGAGCCTCCTCCTGGTCTTTCATGCATAATGCTTAGGGCTAACCCCCGGGTCTTCCTACCATACATAAACTAAATGGGTCGGCATTGTGGCCGTAGACCCACACAAATAGCGAGGAGACTCACCTCGATGTCGTGTGGTGTCAGCACGATCCTCAGCACGGAAATCGACTTGTCTCAACTCTTCAATCCCTACACAACAACCCTTCTTGATTACTAATCCATAATCATAACCCTCTTACAAGAGTCAACCCAAGTCCAAGCCAATTGTCAAGGTCAAAACCTGGTCAAAGTCAACATCCAGTTGACTCGACTCGCTGAGTTGGCCCGCCAACTCGTCGAGTCCCCTTTTCCATTAAATGTTAAAACCCCGATTCTACCTGTCGAGTCTAGCAACAACTCGACGGGTCCTTCTTCACCCATAACATCGGGACCATGTTCAACCGACTCGCCGAGTTCATCCTTGAACTCGTCGAGTTCATCTCCCTCATATGAACATGTTCAGTCTATGACTCGCCGAGTTGTATGAACAAGTCGTCGAGTCGATCTTCATGAGTTGGGAGATTGCCTTGGACTCGCCGAGTTTGCTCAACCACTCGTCGAGTCCCATGATTCCCAGGTCCCTTAAGGGCCTAAACAACTGAGGGACCTT